GTGATCCTCTTCAATGCGCCGGCGTACTATTAATGATCAGTAACGCCGCATTGTTTCTTTTTCTGGTCACATATGATAAAAGTTTGGAAACAGTACAATTGACATTGACTTCTTACTTACAAATAAAACTTCAAAGAGAGATTTGCATACGAGTCTCTCAAGTGTAGCACATCTCATCAAAATAAAAATGTGGTTGGAGTCACTGGGAAGCTACTCTCGCATCGTCGTCTGAGTAACAATCGTCCCATAGTTATTTCACATACCCTACCTCATTTAAGTAGCGAACTCATCTGCACTTGGCCTAGGCACTAGTGAGAGGAACGACCATCTTGGCCGTTTTCCTGAAATCTAATTTTGGCAGATCACTCGACTTCATGACCTCTCACTCATAGTTGATACTTACTAGTCATGCCTTCATAACTTCAAGACAGATACCGGGCAAATACAATTCTCACGTGACAGCCGGTACCTGATTTGGTCACTCTCTCGCACTTCTACTTGATAAGAATATTAGTAACAGTAGCAACAATGCAGACCGCACGAAGAAATATGTGATATCCAAGAAAAAAAAAACGACATCATTGCTCACTTGCGTCCCTGAAGAAGCTTAAGCCTTAGTCTTGCCATCAATGACTGTCTTATGACACTTCAGCATCTATACACACAACACTATGGCTTAAATGATAGAATGCGACGTCAATAAAAAAATTCTCACACAACACGTTAACGAATGTCTGATTTGCATCATTCGTGTGTCGTTAATCATACCTTGCTCGTACTTCAAGAGAAAACGTTGCCCGAAGGTTACCCTACTCGTAACTTACAGCGTCGTCCTCTATACTCGCCTTGTCATCTTGTGGACAACAAGCGACTCAACCTTTCCTCCTTCTTTACTCACCAAAACACAAGTGAAAGTGAAGTCGATCATCGCTTGTAGTCCAATAAAGGGTGTCCGTGCAAGCAACCTCAACCATGCGTTCAATGAATGTCTGATTCCTTTTATATGCGCTCACTAATGGTGTTCTTAGTTGCTCGTTCTTTCTCATTTTGTCATGACATGAACGAAGTTGACAGGAAAATCAGGTAAGGCGAGTCGAATGAAAATGTAGATGATAACGACTTCAGGAAGTGTGCATCTCTGCAATCACTTTCAAGATATGACCGCTATCACCCACGCTGGAGTTAATGACCCGTATACGTCAACTTTACTTTCTCTACGGCTTACAACCACCTCATGGACTCATTGCGTTTGTTAGTAGCGTCATGCCTTGAGCGAGGGAGGTGACGTCAACTAAATTGTCTTCACGTTGTCGAGCGCTCGGTCCTGCAGGGGGACCCTCCCGGCCGCGGCACGCAGGATTTGTGCAGAATTTTTTCGTTGTAGAGCTTTCGTCGCTCCAACCGAGTACGCCAACCATACCTCTCGCGAAGCCCTACGACAGGATAGGGTCACGCAAGGTACAACTTACCTCTGCCCGAGGGGTTGTCACCACCCTTGGACATGCGTATCCCTGCCGAGCTACCGAACCACGTGCAACGCTTCTCAGTTGCAATCGCAGAGGTGACCTAGTCGAGGGCGTTTCTCGTACGTTGTAGCATAGAGGGTACGTTTAGTTGAACGCCTTAATCAGACCAGTACACTGTCACACTTTTTCCGGTCCGACCACTTTTGACGACCAGAAAGCCAATAGGTTGTCACATAGGATTTTGAAGACTTTGGCATTAATTAATTTAAGCAAATATGTCGTGTGCGTTAGGCTTCGAGCGAGACCCTTTAGTTACGGTCTTCGCCGGTCTCCGGTGTCGAGCGCATCAGTCCGGCACCGCGCAAGGCAGCGCGGGACCCTCCCGGCCGCGTCACGCAGGAGTTGGTTTATTCCTTCGTCGCGAATACACATGGAGCTTCCGCAAGCCGCTCCGGCCGAGTGCGCCAGCCATACCTCCCTCGAGCCCCTACGACAGGATAGGGCCTACGCGAGGCACGACTTACCTCCACCTTACGGGAGTTGTCACCTCCCTTCGGTGGGCGTATCCCCACCGAGCTACCAGTCCATAATACGAAAGCTGATCAGTTGCAATCGCAGAGGTGGACCGAACGAGGGCATTTCTCGTTCGCTGTAGCATAGGGGGTACACGCGGTAATACGCCTCTATTAGACCCGCACGTGAACCGACATCTTGGGAGGCTATGATGGTGTACTATGTAGTGCGCATAATCAAGCGGTCTCTCGTGGATTCGAGTACCGCTTATGACGCTCAAGTGTCAGACTCGAAGTGTTGTGAGAGTCTGATTCCTCACGGATATTGCACGGCTGAAGGAATAGTCGTGCAGCCGCCACGAGACCTCCGGCCTTTGATCTAAGCGTCTCGGTAAGCAAGGCAAATAGGCTTTGCACGGGGGCAGATTCCTTCCTTGCAGAGTCTAGGGCTTGGGATGTCCTGGACAAGGGCCTTGAATCCCGGTCCATGACCAACGTCCAACTATAAAAATCTTCTAAAAAGCAAAGGATAAAAGAGGGTTTTCCTTTTCTCTCAAACGCATAATATGTTTAACCCTTACGCGCGGTCGCAATAGGCCGCACGAAACACTCGAGACACATATATATAGAGGGTTATTAATATAGGACGATCACTTCTCACAGTCATAGTGAGACTCCTCTCAGCCATATATGTATGTAATCGCAGGCAGTCACATCCTGAGTCCGAACCACAATTATACCTGCAATCACATCAAGATTCAACAAAAGTCCACGCACTTCACGGGGTCAACTTCAACCATTTTCTATGCTCATATCCCTCGCGTTAGCCACACAAACCTCACTCTTGTGCAACTCCCCAAAATAAATACTCAGTACTTTTGTTAAATGGCTATTCAATAAAGTCCGGGTGAAAAACACAATGAAACAGTTCAAACCACAGGGCTAAAGCCTTTAGGTTAAGTGGCAAGAGTAGATTGGAGTTGAATCGTTAACCGACAAATCGGCAACCGACCTGTTATAAGTGATACCAGTAGATGATCCTCGTAGGATCAAGTTGAAACTAGTCCAAATCCTGAATCAAACGATCAAGAGGACCTGTAACACATGACAGGCCAATCCCAAAGCTAAAATTATAAGTGTATGGAGAATACAACTTCATAACACATTCTCACCCAAGACCCTCCTAATTGACTAAGTTTGAATCTACCTTTAAGCAGTGCCTAAAGCAAAGGTAAGCCCTGACATAATCTGCGGGGTTTTTGTAAGCAGTGCCTAAAGCAAAGCTGCCTAACACATTCTCCATGAACTGTAACAACGACGGCTCGATCTGCAGTTCTGTCCTCTCTCTAGCGGAGGAACTGAAGAAATCGAGTTACCCGACTACAGTAGTCATCTCTGGCCTGAAGTGGATGTGCAGGCGTGACAAGAGACCCCTATGGATCATGCTGCAGAAAGTTGTTGAGTTACTGTACATGGGTAATCGGCGACAAAGAAGATGAGGTCCGCCTGCCTAGGCTATCCCTGTCAAGATTTGCGTTTTGACCCATTCTGAATACATGGTCGCAAGTAACATGCTGCTGTTCCCTCGGTTTTGCAGGAAAGCCCAGCAGGCTGAGTGCCTTTTGCGCGAATGAATCTGCATATCCTTTTGTTCATATATCATGTTTGTCCGTACCTGTATGTAACCTCCGTTTCAGAGGAATATA